CGAATTTTTTGCCGAAACCAAAACTATTACCGAAATTAGATTTTTTTGCCGAAACCGAAACCGAATCTTCGGTTGTTATGTAAAATTATTCTTACATTATATTTATTAATACGTGAATATCAAAAATTGTCGTACTTTTGTAAGTATATATTGTAAAATGAGGGAATGAAACTTATCTCTGGTTTCTGATAATGTTACTTCTGTTAGGCTTTTGGCTCTTACAGCTTCGTCGAACTCAGTTTCATCGGGCTCAATGTAAATATCATTCGAAAGGTGCGTAAAGTGCCACAAATGTGGCAAGGGAATGGAATAATTTATTGGCATATGTATTTTCATCTGATTACATTCTGCGTGTTCTGAAGCCAAGACTGCATAAACTTTTGTTAAACTAAGACGATGTATCATCCAGGGTGTGCGATTAATCAACCAGGGTTTCATTACTAGTTATTACCCGGTAGGATTGTAGTCCACCACTGATCTCAATGATAGCACTATACTCACTGATAACAATAACCATGTACTGGCGCCGTAAGAACATCCTCTTCACCATAACTGATAGAGCCAGTAAAATAAAGTGGAATCGAAATATTCAGATTAGTTGAAAAGCAATGTACCACGGTGCAAGTAACCACGGCAGGGCTCAACTAATTTAAAAATTTATTTAAATGGCTTTAAAAGGCTTTATCGGCAATTCTTTTACCGTTCAGGCTATACTACTCTGGAACTCCTTCCTTACCTTAAGACATTAGGAAAGCACCAAATAATATAGCCTTCAATAGATTATTTCGGAAACATTTTTCTAAAACAACGTTTTCTTTATAACTTCAGATATATTACTAGGATAGAATTGGGGCTTCTGCGTCAGCTAATCTCGTTTCGCTCGAGCTAAGTGCCGCTGAAGGCCCCAATTCTCTCCAGTAGATGTCCAAATTTTTAGTCTAACTAAATTAGTTCCTACATGTTCGCAAGTTTCTATATTATAATAATTTATTTAACCAATGGTGTCGATGACGACTCCGTGGCGCAGTGGCTTAGCAATCAGTTGTTGCGCTGTGGGCCGCGGGTTCAAATCCCGCACGGAACAAGTATTTGTATGGCCTACAAATAATTGTTCCGGGTCTGGATGTTTGTCCTTGTGCAATTTATGTTTGTAAACTGCCTCCACGACACAGGAGAAAATCCTAGTGTGGGGGTAACGTTTTTTAAAAAAGAGACATAAAAAAAAGAGAGAGAAAGAGAGATCGCAAAGGTCTAGTGGTTTGTACTACGAGCGGACTACAAAGCCCGATGGTCGCGGTTCGATTCTCACACAGTACAAAAATTAGTGCGCATGAACAGGTTTGTTTGTATTGTTGGAAGCCTTTTCTTTGTGTACTTAGCGAACGCTAGTGGTTTCGCCTGTGTGGTCTACTATTTTTCTATCCCACGAAAACCGTACTTTTTTCCGGGATTAAAAATGTCATCCATATCCGTTCAGCTCTTCTAGCGCGATTGAGTAACAAACATCCAACTTTCACATTTATAATATTCATATTAAGAAAGAAATAATATTAATATTAATAATTAATAAAGAAAGAAACATGTACTTGACCAACACATAACATTAAGGAACAGGAATTCGTACAGATTTGTAATTAAATAGTTGTGTGCTTTCAAATAGGATTCTGTTTCAGTTTTTATGGGGTACCAGACCACTGGTGTTTAGTCGGGTTTTTTTAATTAAGTCACGGATTATTGAAAAAGAATACCAATGACAAATCAAAATAATAATTATTATTTTAATCGAATCTAGAAAAAATATATTTATACGTCTGGGATGTATGATCAAAGTCTTTGCCTTGTAACTATTTATAATTTTTAAAACTATACTTATGAATAGAGTAAAATTATTAGAGTTTACTATGATCTACCAAGTACCCAACTAATACAATGTGATTTTAAGGTAATATGTGTATTGTAGGATTTCTCGCCCCACAGTTGGTTACAGACTTCTTATTTGTGTTCACTGCGCTGTTCTTAAATACCGTAGTTTATTTCAATTTTAGGTTTTAAAAAAAATTATAAGTTTTTATGCTGCTAAATAATTGACTTGTGAAAGGCTGTAACGATGATGATGAAAATGCAAATTAAATAAAAAATCTGTGAATTTAACTAAAAGTAAAACAGCAACAAATTAAATTCATAAAGTTGGAAACATATTCCTTAGTTCCAAATACGCTCATAGAGCGCTGATAAAATTCCTATACAAAATTTTATTTTAGATAAACTGTGACATAAACTATACGTACTATATAGCAAAATGTTTGTGCTCGCGGTACTGCATAGACAACTTTAATATAGAGTAAGGAAATTCCGAACAGGTCTAGGTCGTGTTCCAGTATACACTGCGGGCACTGCTAAGTGCTCTCACTGGTAAAACATTCGTTCCGTTATGGACTGCCAGTATACTGCTGCAGTACCAGAGGGCAATATATGACGTCATAAATTGCCGCCATTTTTGTACTGTAAGTACTGGCTCGTTCGAGGTAAGGTGCTCTTAGTACTTTGATCACGTGATCAAAAACATAACAGCGCCTAGAGATTTAACAGTTTCCACGAATGATTGTTATTATTATTAACTAATATCGTTATTCATATAAACTTGGACTTTTAAAAGCAACAAAATTCAAGTAATAATTTTTCTTGTTGAACAGAAAACGTGTATATAAATATTTTCATTTGGAAACAGTGTTGAAAATGGGGATGACAGTATACTAGACTGCGTTCCGTTTTAAACACTAACCAGTTCAGCAAATTAAAAAGGATTGGTTTTGCATTATACTGAATTAACGTCACACCTTACAGTATTCACAGTGTATATCAGAACATACCCTCGTATTGGTTAGAATTGACATGCTACTAACAACGCGTAGGATTCACGATTTCCTTTATCCGTTCCGTTTTCTGTTTATATCATATGTAAGTAACGTAACATGCAAATGTTTTTGTACCTACATATTCTATTGATATTAAAAATTATATTTTATTACATTAACAAAGTCTGTACAGTTTCATGATAGTTTTAATGGCTCTACAAAACACAACAAACCTTTACTAAATAATTTTTTACTAATTAAATTTTACTCTACAGTAAGTATACTAATTTTATATGTGGTAGGGCCACGTTGCAGCTTTATGGTTGCAGCACGAATGGATCGATTCGACCAGGGTATGCCACACTCACACAGAATACCAGCGTAAAATAGCAGCTCAATACTGCTCCGTTTCGTATGGTGAGTTTAGAGAGAACCGGAGACTCTTTTTACTGAAAACGATGCATTCCACCTTAGTCCTTAGGGGTGACAACGCATCTGTATTTTAGTTATTAATCGAGGATGGGTAGATGTCTATGGACTACAGCATCTACTTACTATCAGGTGGACTGTGTACTCGTTTGTCACACTTTTTCTATAAATTTTTGATGGTTTTGAACAAATTAACATTTGTATTTTAATAAAATGCTTTACTTGTACAAACACCGTGTAGTGGCGGTGTAAGAATATCCACTACCCAATATCATCCCGTGGGTGTCGTAAAAGTTGACAGAGGGAAATTCGAACAGGAGATGGGCAGCAGCATTTTCCTGAAAACAAATCAAAATAATAAAAAACTGCGGTTGCTAACCCATTACCGAGCATGGCTACTATAGCAAAATCCCGCCTGTGTTCAGCAGTGAACTTTTATAGGCTGTAAAGAATGGATGTCCATCATTCAGATTACAAACTTTACACATATATAATTTATAATATTTGAACATTTTTCACAGTTACACGAAATACTCCCGGACTCTACAATAACCTTAATAAAAAAATGCACGCTAAAATGTTGAATTCAAGGAAATACCTTTTATATTTTTCTGCAAATGTCGAATGTAATTTAATTGCGAACTCCTTTGTGCTCTCATGGAGTACTCCAAGACACTATAATAAACAGGATAAATTAATAATTACAAGGTACTTACTAACAATGAAATAAACATTTATGATTATGTACCTTTACGATGAAATAAAAATGTTAACCCGTTGTCACACCTGAGGACTAAGATGAGATACTTCACTACCAGTAAAAGGAGTCTCCGGTTCTCGATACTTACCATATGAAAGTTGTAAGAGGTAGAGCAAAGCTGCAGCTATATTATAATTGTGGCACGAATGTGTACGATAGTGTAACCGTGGAAGAGCCACACTCCCACACCACCACCGCCACTACATACCAGCGTAAAATAGCAGCTTAATACTGCTGAGTTTCGTATAATGATGTAGAAAACCGGAAACTCTTTTTACTGGATACAAGTCATTCCATCTTAGTCCGCAGGGGGCAATGCATCTGCACATTGATTCTTAATCGATGATAAATGTACGAGTAGATGTATATGAGCTACAGTAAGTACTTACCATAAGGTGGACTGTGTGGTTGTTTGTCACCCTTAAATTTATTTGATAGTTATATAACATTCAACTTCAATGAATGTTTTAACATTCCTAAGTAAACAATATAACTCTTCCAAATTTAAAACGATATTTCCACAATAATTTCTTCTGTGGCTGCAACGCGTAGTTTAACAGCAAGTTTAAATATAAAAAAAAGAAACAAAACAGTATTAAGCTGTTATTTGACACTAGCTATTCTGTGCGAGTGTAGTCCTTTCTAGGTCGAGTCGTACTACAGTTTGTTCTGGTTGCAGAGTAACTCTACCGTGTAATTTACTTACGTATAATATTTTTTTGTATTTCCTGTACTAGGTTTGTGTAAGGCTCACGGGAATGAATAGGATAAGGAAATCCTTACAGCGCCACTACACATCACAACAGCAATGGCAAAATTTATTTTTTCCACAAGGTCATTGCCATCGTGCCTAAATTAACGAAAACTTCGATTATTACGAGACCACGTATCAAAGCATCGTCTCTCTCGCACCTACGTAAATATGACAGCAATATTTTATCTGTGGCACCGGCTTTAGTGAGCTCGCGTCAGGCTTACGATAAAGGCGTGCCTTTTGTTGTGCGTTTTCCAGCGCGACATGTTTATGTAATTTGACAATTTATGTAAATATTCGTATAGTGTCCTGTGTTGTTTCTTCTAATCGTTATTTTCATTGTTTTCTTGACAAGAAGCTGCTGGTTTTGGTATGTTTAAGAATACTTTCGCTTGTTGTCCTGCTTGTATTACCTCATGCAATACAGTTAATAGTTAGAAATTTCACACAGTATAAAATCTGCGACATGGTAAACAAAATGTGCATGATCATAATTGTGTATAATATTTAGGAACATGATCCATAAATAACGTTTGTAATTTTATTGAGAGACATGTTTATTTATATTATTAACATGATAATAGAGCTAACACTCTACCTGATGATAAATGACTACTGCGGCTCATGGATATTAACAACTAACTCCAAGTTAAGCCGTGGTAAATTAGAGTCTTAGAGCTTGGTGTAAATTACACAGTACGCGAGCAACTCGGGTTCGATCCTTGTCGACACCAACGAAATTGTTATTTGCAATTTTAAATGCTGATATACCATGTGCTTGACGATGAAGGAAAACATCGTGAGGAAACCCGCATGTCTGATAAATAAGAAAAATATTTTAAAGACATGTGAAGTTCGCCAACACGCATTGGGGCAGCGCGGTTGACATTTCCTTGCTAAACGCACTCAGAAATAAGAGGAGGCCTGTCCAGCATGGGACGTATAGGCAGTAACTTTACTTTTGCCAAGTAAATAAGAATACGGGTGTTTTCTTATTTATTTTATTTTTTATTATTTAAAAAACGTTACCCCCACACTAGGATTTTCTCCAGTGTCGTGGAGGCAGTTTACAAACATAAATTGCACAAGGAGAAACATCCAGACCCGGAACAATTATTTGTAGGCCATACAAATACTTATTCCGTACGGGATACGAACCCGCGGCCCCCAGCGCAACAACTGATTGCTAAGCCACTGCGCCACGGAGCCGTCTTCTTACTCTAGGAGTCTAAGAAGACTTATAACCTGTAATTTTATTCGTATTTCCTGTATCTAAGTAGAACACAGATTCGTTTGCACTGCTGTTTGGCAGCAGATATATAATATATTAAACTATATAGAGAATATATAGAAATAAGCGACAGTAGCCTAATAGTACGGTTCCGACTGCAACCTCAGAAAGTCGTGAGTTCGAATCCTACATTCGGGTACTGTTTTGAAACACTCTTAACACGAGCATTTTCAAGTTAATTTAGAGTGGTTCACGGAAGTAGATATTAGAAATGGTAATGGCGTTACTAGTATTCTTTTCTAAAAAAAAAGCAGAAAATCAACTCCTCCACCTAGAGATGTACCATAATAGAGCTCTACTCTAATAAAGCTCACACCAATAATTAGTTACACTAATATTAGATTTTATTACATACAGTATTACAAACCATAATAAAAAAAAAACTAAAACTAGTAACTTAATTATCATACAGTCCTACTCCCCGCGGTATCGTGCCAAGAACGCTGGCTGTGTTTCCCCGCTGAATGGCTATACTAAGCCTTTATTGTAGCCTTTGAGCGAGAAAAGAACCAGCCTTCTTATCACCAGCAGCAACGAACAATCGCGGTTGGAGTTGCTTTAGGAACTGCCCGCACGTGGACCCCACAGACCGATAGTCTCTACAGCAAATGGCACAAATATGTATAGTCATCTCTCAGAGACTCATATTTGCGCCACTTACACAGTTCTATTAGCTTATTTTTATTAGATTAGATTCGTTAGAGTTCGTGAAAATTACTTTTCGTACATTCGCTCAATAAAATAAAATTATTTTATTTATTTTTATTTATTTATACACTTTATTGTACTAAAGATACAACCGGAAAGTTAGTGGGAGATGTGTGTACTGCAGTGGGCTAGGATGAAAACCTAAAATTGATAAATTTCACACACACACACACACATACACATATATATGTGGATCAAACTTATATAAATATATATAAGGATATGTTAGATTATATGTTATAGATGATATATTTATGTGTCAGATGAGCCCAAGTAACGTTCCTGTACTTTTGTTTTAAAAATCCACTTGTTAGGGGATACTCTTATTATGTGTCTTACCTAGTTTGATAAGCTCCTCCCGCCCTTCCTGAATTTCGTGCACTATCCCCGTCACCACTAATCCCAGCACCACTACACCCAACACCACTAAACTAGGAAAACACACCATTGACGACAATAAGACCAGTGTTTCGCCACTAAACGAGGCATCCTCGGTTGAAGTAGTCTCTGCGGTGACTGACCGCTATTTTACTTAAATTACACTACCGTTTGTTTTAAAACCATTGCCATTCATGTATAGAAGCCAAAGGAAGTAGCATACCTTAGCACAGACTCCGGTCTTGTAGGGCTGTTATTAGTGAAATACCACCCGGAACTTTAAACTGACTGATTGGCTGCTTTGACCTTTTATTTATTTATTTTTATTCATTTATTCAAAAGCTTAAATGTAACACCTTAAAGTAAAGGGAACATAGAGTGGACATAATGCCATGTATCATTCTCTGCCAGTTGTAGTGGCAACAGTGGTAGAGCCACGCGGTAGCTTTTGCTGTCGCACGGATGTGCTGGCTCGAACCGGGGTGGTACCACGACCTCACAGATAACCAGCGTGAAGTAGAGGTCTACCTCTGCGTTTCGCTTGGTGAGTGCAGGTGGCTGGAGGCCCTTTTTAGTGGAAATGAGGCATTCCATCTTAGTCCTCACGGGTGACAACGCATCTACATTTTGATTTGTAATAGATGATTGATGTAGATGTATATGGGCCGCAGCAACCACTTACCATCAGGTGGACTGTGTGCTCGTCTGTGACCCTTATCCTATAAAAAAAAGTTAACCCTGGGTGCCAAAAACAATTGTTGGCATTTATGTGTATACATAATTAGTTACACTTTAATGATACACTGTAAATGTTTACTGCTGAACATAGCCCTCCCTCATAGAATGCCTCATAAGAAGGAGTTTGCCATAGTTGCTATGCTTTGCAGGCGTGTTGGTACCTTTGATATTTTGATTAGTGTTAAATTAAACAAAAAAGGCTACTGGGATTATTGCCGGTTCTTTTCTGTGAATTTCTTGTTTTCCGAATCGATGTATATTTTGATTTTCATGAGATATTTCTAAGAAACTTAATATGATTCATAATTACTTTTAAATGAGATTCAATTAAAGAAAAAGTTATGAATTTATTTATTTGTAGTTTGAGACTTCCCAAACTTAAAAAAAATAAATTAATAAGTAAAATGAGGCAAATTCTAATTTATTGTAGAGTTGTCTCTATCTATTGCCGCTGAACGCAGGTACTTGTACATACTTAAAAATAATTTATTATTTACATTACTTTCTAGGTCTTTATTCAGAATCGGACTGCTATAGACTGATGATGATAATAGCTTTGACCTTCTTTTACACATAAAAACACAACCAAAATCATAGAATGAAACAAACTGCTTCTTACACATTAAATTTATATATTTTTATTGAAAACACTTGAACCGAAAAATGAGAAGAAAGATTTAAGAAAAAAAATTTAGGTGGTAGAGCCATGCTGCAGCTATATTAATAGTATAGTTGTAGCACAAATGGGTCGGCTCGACCGGGGAAGGACCACGCTCTCACAGAAAACCAGCGTAAAATAGCAGCTTAACACTGCTGTGTTTCGTATGGTGAGTGTAGAGAACCGGAGACCCTTTTTACTGGCAAAGAGGTATTTCATCTTAGTCCTCACGGGTGACAACGCATCTGCATCTTGATTCTTTATTGATGATAGATGTAGATGTCTATGGGTCACAGTAACCACTTACCATCAGGTGGACTGTTTGTCACCCTTATAAAGATAGTAAGCCGTGGTAGCGTCTTAAGACAGTGCGGTGGACTCAAGTGATAAACATATGTTCTCAACTGTGGGGCTAAATAATATATTGATATATACCTAAGGCAAAAGAAATTATCTTTTATTATCTTTTCAAATTGAAACATAGGAATACGAGCGCTGCCACCATGTTTAGAAACAATTTTTCTTTTAAAACGAATTATTTTATAAAAATACCATTACCGTCACAATAGGATTTACTCCTGAATCGTGGAGGCAATTCACAAATATAAATTGCACAAGGACAAACATCTAGACCACACGTGTAGTTGCGTTTAAAAATACCCTCTACCCCATATCATACCGTGGGAAACGTAAGAAGCGACAGAGAAAAACAAATCAGGAGATAGACAGCAGCCTCTTCCTAATCTATACCAATAAATAAAATTGAAGTGTCTGTTTTTAATGTCAAAATAACAGCTTTTAACTAAATGCATACTAAATTATATACGGTACTTATACCAAAAATACCGTTTTTTAAATTTTTGTCAGTCTGTCTGTTTCGGTTAATCTCCGAAACGGCTAGACTGATTTTGATGGGACTTTCACTCGCAGATAGCTAATGTTATAAGGAGTAATTTAGGCTACTTTTATTTTAGAAAGGGAAATATGGTTCCGCGCCAAAAAATAAAAATTAAGAGCCATAAAATACAATCGTAGTAAATTCCACGTGGGTGAAGTCGCGGGGAACAGCTAGTAACAACTAAAATAAAAAACTATGGTTAGTATCCAACTGTAATAGAATAACAAATGCTGTCGTGTCCTTTTGTATAATGTATGTAGTTTATCCGGGACTTATAATTCCCGTATTTTCATCGTTTGAGTGTCGTAAGAGGCGACTGAGAGAAACAAATTAGGAGATAAACAGCAGCGTCTTCCTAATAACGATTTAAAATTAAAATAAAAACCGCGGTTGCTAGCCCGCTTGCCAAGCGTGGCAACTATGGCAAATATCTACCCTATAAGGCAATCTATCAGGGAGGCATATGTTCAGCAGTGGACTTTAATAGGTAAAGGTAAAACTCCAGATCCAGAATAATTATTTGTAGGCCATACAAATACTTGTTCCGTGCGGGATTCGAACTCAGCACAAAAATTTAATGCCAAGCCACTGCGTCATGGCGCCGTCAAAGTTTTCTATTTTCTATTTATTTTCTGTGTTTTTATTTCAGCCAGGATTAAAAAATAAATTTAAGAAAAAATATTTCGGGGACATATGAAT